GGGCTAAAGAGATGCTTCAGTGGTTAAGAGTCATACTGCTCTTGCAGTGGATCTGAGTTCAATTCCCAGCAACCACCTTAGACAGCTCACTACTGACCATCTACCAAAAGTTCTTCAGTTGGTACCAGCACTCGCTCGCTCGCACATACCCACACAGGACAGCCACTTGCTCACAGACACACATAATCATCACCATCATCATCCTATAAAAAGACTGGCCAAGCTGACATCTGTTTAAAATGTGGGAAAACTGAAATCTCATATGGTTACAGGTGGGGATGGATCATGCAACAGGCCCAGGTGTTTTGCTTAAATTTTTCAGATAGAGTAACATCTAGTCACTCCACATCTAGATTCTTATAGAAGAGAAATGAAAGCCTAAAACCATATAAAGACTTACTTGCAGATGTTTATAACAGCCCCAAAATAGAAGCAACAGACATTTCTACCAGTACAGAAGTAGGTAAATTATGGCATCTCCATATAAGAAGCACAGTCCTACTTGGTAATTAAACAGTAAACTATGGCTATATCCTATAACATGAATGGATCTCAAAGAATTATGCCAGTGAATAGAGCATAACTCACCATTTATGCTTTGATTGAAGCCAGGCTGGTTCCTTCACAAAAGGAATACATATTGCATGACTTCATTTGTGTAAAATTTCTAAGAAAAGCAAACTAATTCACAGCAATAGAAAATATGTATTGAGATATGGCTCAGCAGTTAAGAGCCCTGACTGCTCTTCCAGAGGACCAAAGTACAATTCTAAACTCACATGATGGCTAACAACCACCTGGAACTGCAGTTCCAAGGGACCTATCACCCTCTTAGCATCTCTAAAGGCAGTGCACAGACATACACACAATCAAAAATCATAAAAGAAAATTTACAAAAAAAACCAAATTACATATCATTTGTAGGAATGGGAAAAGTATAGGGTAGATAATGGTAATTACATATAGGTACAAAAAAAACACTTACACAAACAAAACATGAATGTGGTTTTGTCCCATCCCATTGCCTGGTCTTGTTAATGCTGCTTGGTTTAACTCCTGAGTACCAGTCATCCCTCTGTTTCAGCATTCCAAGCAGCTAGGACTAAAAGCTATAAAACTGGGCCTATGTTTTTGATCAGTCTTAATTATGGTGATGGCTTCAAATTTTTTCATACACTAAATACGAGCAATACATTGCATATAAAAATCTATCTCAATAAAGAAGTTTTTTAAAGGTCTTTAGTGTAAGTTAAATTTTAACTGTTTCCTAATTTTGTACAGTTGTACTTATAAACTATGTGATCAACATTTTAACCTAAATTTCATCACTTTCTGTCTCTTTCTCCTATCTGAGTTTCCCAGCAATCAAGCCACCAAGTATTAGGAATCTCTTCAGCAATTCTAATAGCTGTTTTCTAAAGATTCATCTCCGGGCACTAATGCAATCAACATAATTATAATAACACATGTGACATACTAGCATGAAAATCAGTGGTGATCCTGTCATTCCCATGCAGATACTGCTAATAAAACACTGTGTTCTCTTTTCTAGATAAAGGACCCGCATTCGAACAGACTGGAGTTATTCCTGCCTCTGCTACTCCAGAAGTTTAGTGTAGGCTGCTGATTACAGCAAGCAAACACTTGTTTTCATCCTTACTTGGCTTTCTCGGGGTCATCCTGTTGACTTTCTACAATCAAAGAAAATGAGCATTATATTTCTGCCCTTGAATTTAAACAACGATTTCCTCTAAGAGCCAATTTAGGACTCATACATTCCAGGAAGCCTCCTATTGACTAAACTCAGGCTGTAACAAGCCTGACGTTTTTGAATCCTTTCAATGTTCTTCTATGCTCAACATGACTACACTCATAATCTGCTGCCAAGATCATCCTTGGGGCAGCTCTCTTCTCACCTGAAAAATGGTTGAGCCAATATTTATATTAAAGAGTTGTCATGGGGACCAGGAATGACGTATGGTTACCATTGGGATGTATGTTGTGAGAACACACAGATTTGCTTAATTTATATAATTCAAGCACTCAGAACAGGGCTGGTATTCAGTAAATGTTCAATAAATATCTATTGAATAAAGGAATATGTAAAAGGCCTTTCACATACTGAAACACACACACAAAAAAGTTCAATCCATAGTTCAGTCAGTGTTCTTTACGAGCTGAATTTGTAAAATCACTTTAGATGTTCTTTATGTCGCTTATAATCAATTTCTAAAGTCAAGAACAGAGCCAAACCATGAGGGAAGCAAGGATGCATGATCTTGGCTCTCCAAAGACAAAAAACAAAGACAAAAAACTTTAGTAATTTCAACTAAGAGCAGTTGACACAATGTATTAAACACACACACACATACACACACACATGGGGGAGTGGAGAGAGGGAGGAGAAGAAACCTAGTTAGTGCAGGGAATCTTTGATGAAGTTATGTCTTAGTTACCTTTGAAATCTGAATAGACAGGATGACTGAGACAATTTATAGAAGAAAGTGTTTATTTAACTGGGGTTTATGGTTTTAGTCGATGAGTTCAGGACCATCATTGTTGGGAACATAGCAGAAGGCAAGTATGGCCTTAGAGAAGTATCTGAGAGCTTAATTCTTGATTGACAGAAGTGTCAGAGGTTGGTGATGCATGCCTTTAATCCCAGCACCCTGGAGGTACAGGCAGGCAGATCTCTGAGTTCAATTCAGCCTGGTCTACAGAGTGAGTTCCAGGACAGGGAGGGCTACATAAAGAAACCTTGTCTTGAAAAATAACAAAACAAAACAGAACAAAATTGATCCACATAAACAAGGGGCAAAGAAAAACAATGGAAATGGTGTGGGCTTTTGAAACTTCAAAGAACACCCCCGAGACATATCTTCTCCAATAAGGCCACACCTCCTAATCCTTCCAAAGTAGCTCTACCAATGGGAGACCAAGTACTTGAATATATGAGCTAATGAGTGTGATGCTCATTCAAATCAAGACAAGTAAGATTTATATGAAAGAAATGTCAGTACCAGAGCCATGCCAATACTCAGAGACATTCTAGGATAAAAGAAAAAGCATTCATTCTCATCTACCTGTACTTAAAATATTGTATTTTACTTTAAAATTTTTATGTGTTCGCTTGTTTTGCCTGTGTGTATGTCTGTGCACCACGTGAGTGGCTAGTGCTCAGAGAGGCCAGAAGAGGGCATTGGATCCCCTGGAACTGTAATTACAGTCATATAAAGGCTGGAAATCAACCAGGGTACTCTGGAAGAGTGGTTAGTACTCTAAACTGCTAAGCCATTTCTCCAGACCCTTAAAATACTTTTTAAAACATATCCAAAAGGAATAAAATGATTTCCTAAGTTTTTCAGTACTATTAAATTGTGCACCTCTCTTACTTTATCCAAATTACCTATTTGCATAAAAATTAACACTGTCTTAGAAGAGCTATCATTTAAACTCTACCAAATGCAGTAGTCGACTCTGCTTAAGCTCAATGCTGCCTGTCTGTTCCCTGTGGGAGAAAAGCTCACTGCTTCTGCAGGTGAGCCCCAGGATGAAGTTGGCTTAAGTTTAAGGATTGGCAGTGTAGATGAGGTCAGTACTGATGTGGGGAGATTTGTGTCTCCCAGCTCAGTCTTCCTCTGGACTCCTCTTTTAGGGTGTTATTTCCCCCTGCATTCCTTCTTGTGAGTGATGGATGCATCACACACATCTCAGTGTATCTGCCTCAATCTCACACATTCTCACACATGCACATACTTGGCTTGTGAATGAATAAATATGATAATGAGATGCTCCTGGGAAGGCAAAAGTGCCCCCCCCACCACACCTTGCCTCTCTACTCAGCTACCCTTCAAACTGAGGGAGGGTTCTGCCTGTAGTCAGGAGCCTGAGCTCTTACAAATCACTAGCAATGTCCTCAAAGCACAGAGACCAAAGCAACTCTGGCACATAGGCTATACATCATCTCTTTTGCTTTCCTTAAGTAGTCATATTTTGTTGCTTACTAAAAATTCACAGTTTTATCCTGAGATGAAGTAGCATCATTTCTGCCAGGAATCACATGCAGAAACATGGTTCTGTTTTGTTTCTGGACATACTGTATTTGATAAAATTAGAAGGAGGCCATCTTATCAGCATTCTTATTGGAGAAGGAAGAAGAGGAGGAGAAAGAGGAGGATGGAGAGAAAGAGGAAGAGGAGGAAGAAGAGGAAGAGGAGGTGGGAGAGGGGATTTTCAACCAGCTCTTAAGAGTCAGGATAAAGAAGATGCAGGGAAGCATTTTTTGCAGGTTCCAAATCCCACTTACAACACTGATCCAGCACCTGAAAGGGAAAAGATGGATGCCAAATGCTATTGAGCATAAATAACCCTGTATGAAAACTTGGTCACAAGGGACAGTTAAGTCTCCCTGGTCCAAGAGTCTCTAAATAAGAACAGATGCCCTCTGCAAGCTCTCTAAAATCTGCTGCATTCTGAGAGTCTACAAAAGAGAAGACACACTTGGCACTGAACCTCCCATGGCAAAAATGAGACTGGACAGCTGGGTTAATGTAATTGGCCATAAGGTAACAGCCTTGAAGTACTGCCCAGCCCCACTACTGTGTGAGTCCTGGAGTCAGAGTGTCAGATTCTATGAGGATAACAGGAATTTTCCAGATGAAATAACAAACACTTAACAAAAGCCAGTATTACAATGGCACTGAGGTGATGAAGACATCAGGTGGGACCCTCTAGCAGAGCTTCTGCTAAGGTACCACAGCACCTCTGTTGCCTAGTGGTTGGACCGTTGAGCCCCAGACAGACAGACATGTGAACTTTGTACCTGCTATGGTGAGTGGGAGAGAACTCACTACCTGCTATTAGACACCATCTCATAAACCTTGCTTTGCAAAAAGGATCTGACAGTCAAAACATTCAGTTCTGAATCTACAGACACTATAAACAGATGAGAAAAATGAATGAAGTCTGATTTGTAAAGACGTCACTAACCCAGAAAATGACAGCATGTTTCCAAGGGCTTTGGCTGAGTTATGATCATGGAATCTCCAACTATATCACAGAGTGAAATGGAGACACTCTGAACTATACATATAGTTCAGGTCAGCACAGTAACTGTGGCTGTTACTCATCTTTCTTAGATGCAAATAGCCTATACATATGACATAAAACATAGAGTGTGTGGTGGTTTGAGTACGCTTGGTCCAGGGAGTAGCACTAGTTGGAGGGGAGACCTTGTTGGAGTAGGTGTAGCTTTGTTGGTGTGGGTGTGTTACTATAGGCATGGACTTTAAGACCCCAGACTTAGCTGCCTGGAAGGCAGTCTTCTCAGCTCCTCTTGCACCAGGCCTGCCTGGACACTGCCATGCTCCTGCCTTGATGATCACAGACTGAACCTCTGAATCTGTAAACCAGCCTCAATTAAATGTTGTCCTCATGTAGGCCTCCAGCAGAAGGTATGGCCCAGATTAAAGGTGTACCACCATGCCTGGATCTGGAGCTTGCTTTATCCCAGGCTGATCTTGAATTTAGAGATATGCTTGCCTCAATCTTCTGAGATTTAAGGTGTGTACTACATTGCCTGGGCCTACGCTTTTTATGGCCACTATACCTCAAGATATACCTGTCAAGATGCAGGTCAGAAGCCTGTGTCTTCCAGCCTCAAGATCTGGATCACAGGTATGCCCTCTATTTCTGGATTGCAGTTCATTCCAGATTTAGTCAAGTTGACAACCAGAAATAGCCATCACAGACTGATGAACGGATAATGAAAATGTGTTATACTTATACAATGGAATAATGCTCAACTTAGGAAAAATGTAATTTGTAGGCTAATGGACAGATCTGGAAGACATCATCTTAAGTGAGAAAACTCAGATGAAGAAAGACAAACCATGTACTGTGCTTCCTCTCAAACATACATATTGCCTTTTAAGCTTTAGATAGGTGTGTTTCATTTGGAATGTCCACTCAGATTAGGAAACTAGTAAAGGGCTATGTGAAAGGAGGGAGTCTTTCATGAAAGGGGAGACAGAATATAATGGTAGAGAGAAAAATGGAATACAAGGTATCAAGTGGAAGAGGATAGGAGGGAATATGGGGAGCAATAACTAACAGTAAATTCCTTTTGATAAAGCCACATGGAAATATTACAGGATAAGATAATATATGTATGTATGTATGTATGTATGTATGTACTTATATATGTACATACACATACCCTGTAATCACTGGCTACCAAATAAAAATCCCAGAATAAGAATGGGTTAATTCTTTTTGAATCATTGGCCAATAGGGTCCCATAGATCTATGTTACAAGTTATTATCGGTGATTTTGGTTACCCTCCAGAAGTTGATGGTAAGATCCTATTGCTGAACACACCACACCTTTGAGTTTAGTAAACAAAACTTGAATAATTCCAACTTCAGATAACAACCCAAATTAAATGGGGAAATTCTCTTGGGGCCCACTCCTATATGAAGACCTAAAGCAATTAATGACTCTTGAGCGAGGGAGAATGTGTATTCCTCAGGGATGAGTCCCCTAATTGGTTAGCTAATACCAAGTGGTCAGCCTTTGAAACATACATATAAGTAACACTAAATAGACGGCTAGACAGTTTTATGTTAATTTAACACAAGCTAAACTCATCTTAGAGAAAAGACCTTCAATAAAGAAAGTGCCTTCATAATATTGGACTTCAGGTAAGATTGTAGGACACCTCCTTAATTAGTGATTGATAGGGAAAGAGCCAGCTCATGGTGGGTGGGGCTATCACTGGGCTGGTAGTCCTGGGTTCTATAAGAAAGCAGGCTGAGCTAGCCAGCCAGTAAGCAGTACCACTCCTCCATGCCCTCTGCCTCAGCTTCTGACTTCAAGTTCTGGCCCTGTTTGAGTTCCTATCTCAATAAATCCTTTCCTCCCCAAGCTATTCTGGCCATGTGTGGTGGTTAATCACAGCAATCCTAACCCTAACGTAGACAATATTAACAAATATTAATGATAAGGAAAGGAAAGGAAAAGACAAATTTGAGAGGAAGCAGGGACAAGGGCATGGAAACAAGGAGGAAAGGACAATGACGCGTATTTTTTCACTAAAATTTTAACAAAAGAAGAACAACAAAACCGTACTGAAGAATAAGAAAGACTAAGAAAGCTGGCTGCCTTTCACAGTCCTGGAAGGTGCTAGGCATGCTGTTTCCTTGGAAGGATCTACCATTCAGAAGAACATTACTCATCAGTCTTACCCGGCTGTGAACCCTGGGAGCTACATAACCTCTCTGGCAAGACATGCCCGATCGTGTCATAATAGCATACATAGTATGAAGATAACCAGCCACTTTCTTATTGGTTCTAAGGCCCAATCCACAAGCCTAGCACTGTTAGTGAGGTCAGGAATCTGGCAAGTGAGGTCACAGTGCCTAGGAGAAAACCTACTATTACTATTGTGCTAAAGAAACAGTATTAAAATGACTCCAGATGACATATTGCTATACCCAAACAAAGATCAATGTGTCTCTCAACCCTGGCTAGAGAATCTTCTTACACAGGAGAGGAATTACCACAAAAACTACAACTGGTCAATGCACAGAGAATAAGAAACTTCAGAGTGCTCAGTCCAAATGGGACAACCGTATCACACCCCTCTCCCTCAAGGATCAGAGATCTTAGTAGAAAGGGGAAATAGTTTAAGGGCCAGGAGCAATGTATTATTACAAGAAAATAATGAGGGTTTTTTTTTCCTTCTTGTTTTCTTTTTGGTTTGGGTTTTTGTTGTTTTATTTTTTTGTTTGTTTGTATACAACAGGACATATGCACATAAGAACTCACAGTAACTGTGACAGTATACACAAAACCTGCACAAACCCAAGCCAAACAAATCTCCAACAAATGGGGGAGGCAGGCATGTCCCCCTGCCCCCTACTGAGGAGCTACTGGCATTTGATAGCTACTGGGAAAGGCAGTCAGTTTTCTTTGATGTGTGACCTCTGATGAAAGGGTCACACTCCACAGTAGGAACTACACCCAGGCCACCACAGAACTGATTTAATATATGCTAAGCAGACATAAAGCTAGAGAGAGAACACAGAGTTGGGCAGGTGGTGAGGCAGAGGCAGATCTGGAAGGGGTTGGGAGAGGAGATGACTACAATCAAAATACAGCGTATGAAATTCTCAAGGATAAAATATTATATTTTAAATATTTCAGTTAAAAAGGAAAGGAAAGAAGAATGGGTGTAGTTTAAGATCAAAGTATTTGGAAAGCCATGAGTATCATTCCCAGCACTGTAAAAAGGAAAAAGAATGGCTAATAAAACCTGATGAAATCACTTATATTCTGTCTTTATTAATCAATGTATTTTTCATTAGAAAACTATAATGATCACATATGTTCTGATGACTAGCAACCAGAAGTGGTGGCACAAGCCTGTAATTCCTGCACTCAGGAGGCAGAGACAGGAAGGATCTCTATAAGTTTGAAGCCAACCTGCTCTACACAGAGAGTTCTAAGCTAGCCAAAGTTACATAGTGAGACACTGTTTCAAAAAGACTACCAGCTTCCTCAATGCAAATCCTTTTTTTTCCTGTTTACAGGTCTGTCCTAAGAGTAAGTTTGAATCTACTATTGGGTAAATTCTTCTAAAAGAAAACAAAAGTTTGTTGATGAAACTCCCCAAACAAATAGAGAAGCATCTAGAATGAAGAAGTCTGTATCACTGAACAGCAGAGAGAACAACCGACAGCTATTCTCAGACAAGCTTTCCACAATGTATTCTAGATTTAATTGGGGATTCAAGTATACAAAGCAACTATATCCTTTCCCCATCAACTAGCATTTAACCAGTTTGATATTAACATTCTCTCATGTTCTCTTTACGCCTCACGAGCACTGTCAGTTACCAGTACCAGAAGTGAGCAAGTGACTCAAAGTTAAACACCAGAGATGCTTCCTAAAATTCAACTTTGGTGGAATAAAAAGACTCCTTATGAGCTATGTCTCCCTATCCCAAGTCACTTTCTTAAGTCAAGCACTCTGCTGTAGGATGATTACAGTTGTACTCAGTTCTGTAGATGTGTCTACCTAGGAAAAAAAGGGATCTTACTACCAAAGAAAAAATAGCAAAGTGAACTAAGACCCCGCACCATGCATAAGGTAAAATCAAGCACCTCAGAATCTTAAAGGAAGCACTAAAACGTCACTAATTTTCTTTCCACCTTTTTCTCCTACAAAGCATATACAGACTGAATTCGTACACTTCAATGCTACCTCGATATCTATTAAATATTTATGCTTTACAATCTGCTCCAAATCAGTAAATGAGATCTCTACCCTTCTTTAGAGTAAAGGGTAAAATCATGCCATCTTTTCTTCTACACAGCCCATCAGACTTTACCTTGAGCTCAGACCCAGAGCTGCTTGCTCCCCCACAACTGACAGTTGTATGAACCTACACACTGTTCTTCAACACTTAAGCTGCCTTTCTACAGTCTGTCAGTTGGGGCCTCTCGAGTTGTCCTCTGAAACGCTAAGTCACAAGGGAGTCTCTCAATGCAAGGACTCAGCATCTTGGCGGGATGATGGCTCGAGGATCCTGCATGATCATTAAAGCTTACAGAGCTACACATCAGCAATCTAAAATCTGACTGCATAGTATCAACTTTTTCGAGAAGTAAGCCAGACTACAGAAGATCTGTACTCAAAATCCTGTATCAAAGAAGCTCAAACTGCTGGGTTGGTGGCGCATACATTTAATCCCGGAAATCAGGAGGCAAAGGCAGGTAGATCTCTGAGTTCAAGGCCAGCCTGGTCTACATGAGAGTTCTAGGACAGCCTGGGCTACATAGAGAAAGCCTATATAAAGAAACAAACAAACAAACAAACAAACAAAAAAAGAGGAACCCACAAAAACAAAAAAGCAAACAAAGTCTCTGAAGCTCCTATGTGATTAGATTCCCTAGTCTGCAACTTTATCTTCCTTTCTCCTTGTCCCACTCTGCCCAGCCACACTGCCCATCAAAGGAGTCTGGCAGGCTTCTGCTTCTTTTTCTTTGCACTGCTGTTCACTGAACTGGGGATGATGCATGGACACTCTGATTTCCAGAACAAAAACAAACTTGCTCCAATCCACCTAGGTCACCTTCTT